CCGAAACTTCCATGGTCTGCCACACCGGAGAGCGACCTGAAGCAGAACAGGCGTCTGGCACATTCACCACCGCTGCTGGGACGCCGCCAGGATCACGACCGGCGACAGCATGAAGTTCTATGACGTCACCAGGCGGAAATCGAGGGACCACTTTTTTGGACGCGGTAAACACACCAGTCGGAGACGCGTTCGCACTACATTTCACCACAAGCCAAAGAGCAGACGACGCTGTCCAATCAAGCAGTTTAAAAAAAAACAAAAAAAAACGCAACATGATGGCGTTCATCGTTTTTCGGTGCAGGAAGCGAGGAGCGTGAACATACGAAACCACATCCACTTTCGTTTTTATCTGGAAGCTTAGCGACCTACCTTATTTCTCTCTTTCCGCAAGCAGATTCACTCGCTTGACAGAATTAGCGGACGATGATATGCGAATAAAAATATGCTTCAAACGCCTTCATATTTGTTTTAGTTGTTTTATTTGTTTTGTAGGGATGGCTCTAGCCCATAGCTTCACCTTGAAACGCTGTATGCTGTCAGATATTTACAATAGTGTGTATGTATGAAAGTGTTACGAACAAAAAAAGATGAATAAGTCGAACGTTATTGACGAAAACCCCAAAACTGGGACGAGGAGGGACGGACAAACACAAAGTATCCGGGTTACAGTTCAACCATCACCAGCTCACTTGCGCCCTAACCTTCTGTTCATTATATATTTTATTTTATTTTTTCTTTAATAAGTCGCTTAGTTCGGCAGTGTAAGATAGTAGCCGGATGACGACCGGATAACTTTATCCTAGGCCTGCGTGCGCGTCGTCAACTTCAGCCGGTGTGCATCTGGAACATAATTTTGTGTGTTTGCTTTCACTGTGGGTCGTATGGCACACGGGGATACAATTAGCAAACTGCGGGGATCGACCGAGGAAATGAAACCCGCCTTTTCGGCGCGCATAAACTACGCCTCAAAGAAAACTGAAACTCAGTGAGAACGGGACGCTAGCGGTGCTAATAAAATGTGAAAGTTTGAGCACTTGACGTTACCTCGATCAAAAAAATAAATAAATATTAATGATAATTCTCTATGAGCCGACGTCCACCCGAAGCGGAATGTTTATCAAGGCTGAATGTGACAATGTGGGCGCCTAAAACACTTAATTTATAAAAAAAAAAAAAAAAAAAAAAACTTGTCAGCAAAATTCAAAACAATGTCCTATTTCTTAAACAAGTTCTCTTTTTTTTAAAATTCAAATAAAGGTTACAGGCGCCCACGATCTGATATTTACGGCTTGATGTTTATCAGGCTTAGGTAAACGTCGGCTCATAGAATTTTTTTATTTATTTTTTATTTTGTATATTTTGAATTAGGTAACATCATGGGCTGAAACGTTCACAGTTTATTACCACCGCTAGCGTCAAATTCTCACGGTCTTCTTTTTCTGCGATGCGTAGTTTATATATGCGGTTCGAAAAACAGGGTTTAATTTCTCCATCGATCCCTTATCTTATGTAGATAATTGACTGGAAGGCACGAATTTCTTTCGTTGCCCCCTTTCTCAACGTGCAAGAACTTTCGGTGGCGAATAAAAATATGTGTCTCCCGCGAGGTTTCCCCTCCGAGAAAGATTGTTGATAAACACGCGTAATTAGGAACAGAACGGCAAATGTTAGAAAAGCACCACCATTGTGGGCGGCACCCGTGAGCCAGTTAAAGAGACGGAGCGAAGTGCTCGTGACAGATTTCTCAGGAGTACGGGTTGTCCCCCCAAAATGTATTTACAGGGTTTTTTTCACCGGAAAAATTAAACTATGCGTCACCTGACGCTCATAATCCGCCCAAATGTAGCCCCAGAGGTCCGTACCATGCAGATGCCAAAGTTTCAGCACCAACCGTTGTCTTATTCAAACGCTATCAGCGATTTTCTGAAATTTTCAATGGCGAAATGGCGGCCGATGAACCTCTTTGTAATGCGCACGGAGCTCTACGACGCCCGCTACCGAAAACTGGCGAAAATGGGCACCATCTTCCCGTTGAAAATTTAACAAAAAATCACATAACTTTTGAATAAGAATAAGACAGCCTGAACCTTTGGCGTCTTATTCGGACCTCTAGCGCCACATTTAGGCCGAGAATGAGCGTTCAATTAGGGATAATTTATTTTTGCAGAAAAATAAAAAAAAGTAAAATATTTTTGGGGGGACACTATGTTTATATCAGGACTCCAACGGTACGTTGTCCCGTGCCTCAATACGACGCTATGATTGGCTCAATGAGGCACTAGTTTTCGGCATTGGTGAAGTTTTGCTGGCGCCGCTTCGGAATCATCGGGATTCGCTTGCACGCATCCCATAGCTGAATAAAAGGAGCATGAAAATGTACCTACTTGCGTTGCATTTATGCTTAGCGAGCAGCAACAGTCAGCCCCAAAGGGCGTCTGGTATCTCCACGTAGATGAAAGAGTTAGCCAGGTTAGTGTCACTGCCACGCAGTACTAGAGAGTTTTAGAGAAGCGTTTTTGCGCATCCGGTAAGGTACGGTGGACCTTCCGGTATGAACTGCGCATGTGTACTACCGCAGAAGACCTCCATGGCCATCGTACCATATCGGGTGTGCGAAAACGGTTCCCTAGACCTGTGTAATGATTGCACGACCTCATGCCGGTATACGATGTTCATCCAGATTAGAACAGGCTGGGGTGGAGATTGAACCCAGCATCCCGAGGTCTTGCAAAACGAGTTTTCGCACCACGTGCTCCGAGCTCGGGTGCCTTAACGCAGTCCCCAGCAAAAAATATCATAATGTATGATTTACATGGTGCGCTTTCGCATGCGATTTCGCAGCTGCAACGTCGCTCGTGTGGCACAAAATGAAAAAAAAGTACAGTGCAAAGGACGGTGCACAACTGAGAAATCGCAAGCAGAGTCGCACTATGCAAACCAGGCTTAACAAAGGGTTTCTGAACAAACAAGTTTGCAATGGAGCGATAACAGACTGCTTTATTTACAAGGTAAACCCACGTCAAGCCCTCAGTTGATGTAGAAAATTCGTTGTGTTCGCTCAACGGGAACAAAGAACAGTAATAGTACAAAAACATTTTTTTTTTGTCGCATTTAAATTCGAAGAACAGCGCAAAAACGTGTAGTCAGGAAAAATACGGGCGATAGAGAAGTTGAATTTGAAAAGACGACCCTACGAAACTGGATGAGTTGAAAAAAAAAAGTGTAACCTTGAAACACTCTCCATGGGGCAGGATCAAGGTGCACGGAAACACGCGTCTCCGACTGATGTGTTTACCGAGTCCTAAAAAGGGATCTCTTGACTTCCGCCTCATGATGCAGAAGTTTCATACTGTGGCCGGCCACGATCTTGGTGCTGGCTGTGGCCTGTTCTCGCGACTCCAGTGAATTCTAGGGGGCGCGCTGGTCAGGCAAAATGACGGGTGAAAGGAGGTCGTAGTGTCTTGCACTGCAGCGTAACACCGGTTCTACATGTGAAAGAAAATCGATTTTTCGACGGTAGAAGCCTCCTAGTGAGTGCGTAGGAATGACATGGCGGAAGCATAAAAATAATTACCGGAAACGATGTTTGTTTCTATGCTGCCTACGAGAATCAAGTAGCGATAGCAGACGAGAGAGTCGAAACGACCTCCTCTCCTGAGCTTCTCGGCGTTGCCGCTACGCGGCGTCGATTTCGCTGGAGTCGCCCTCTAGCGTGACAGCCCACGAACGCTTCAGTAGCCGGGAGATGGCTGTGACGACAGCGCCACTCACGTTCTGTCGGGACCACTTTCGGTGCATAGGCGGAATAGGACGCTAAACACGTCGGTCAGAGACGCGTTCCGTGGGCACCGTATATAGGCAGGATCTTGTCGTCGGTTTCAATTCGTATACACATCTGAGCAGACGTAAGTGTTCTGAGAGATTTAAACGCTATGGCATGCAAGGTCGACTTCTGTTCCCGCGGAACGCCGAACTAAGAATAGACTGGTAGGCGCCTATAGATGGATCCTCTAGACCTGACATACGGAAATGATTTTTTTTTCTTTTTTCTTAGCACGCTTGTCCTGTGTGACGTGTATATGTACAAACCCCTCGATTCTTGACGGGTATGGCGGCACTCTGGGCATTTAATAACAAAATGTCAAACTTCATCGCTATGTACAGTCTCTGTAACTTACTCGAGGCGGCGTATAGCTATATCCTAATATGGTGTAGGTTAAGAAAACCAGGACGAGCTCGTCCCCCAAGTTGGAGTCTTTCCACATTAGCAGAGCGAACGGTAGAGATGAGGCTATAGAGGGAAGAAACCAGCAATCCTAGCGAGAATAGCGGTTTGTAGGAGGTGCTGTCCTGCTTTGCTTAACCTACTACAAACTATAGTCGTAAACCTTTTCTTCGAACGATACTGTTAACAGCGTGTTTCAGGTGCTCGGCATCTTTCTCGCGATTAATCTTTACTCCCTCCTAACCCAGTACGTGGGGCGTGCGGCTCAGGACACAATTCCTCAGTGCTGAGCTCAATGACGTCCAAGATCACGAGGACACTGCGACGTGTTGCACTGTTCACTGTGGCCATGCAAGGTAACCTAATGACTGGACCAAGGAATTCAGCACTGATGTCTTGTGCTCTATACGTGGCGTTTGTTCTGGCCCACGTGAAATTCGAAAGCACCGGTTTTCTTGTAAGGCCTCCAAAATCAATAGCAAAGTGTATTTCTATAGCTTTGCCTTTTCATACAACCCGAGGATTAAACGAGAAGACTGAATGTAAAATATGATAAATATCAATGCTCATATCATTCTACTTCTGCCGCGATGATCGTTCTACACAAAGTCCCGCGCGTTGTCAACATGAGGATGGACGAATTCTAGCTAGATGTATGTACAAAGTGTTTTAAAAGAGGTGGTTATGAGGATAGCCCGCTTTTATGAGGTATTTTTTTGCATATAAAATAGTGATCTGATTAAAAAGGGGTTCCCGCGATTGACTCAAACCCGTGTTATATCGTCCATACTTGAACCTTTTCCGCAATGACGCACCAACTAGCATGATCGTAGTAGGAAGAAATGATGTGGAGGTTCTCGACATACTTGTCGATCAAATTGTCAAGTTCACCTTCCCTAAACACATGGTAATACCTGTGCAGCATCAAAGAACTGCCGCCACCGTCAGTGTCCTGCAAGGATTCTTGAGAGGAGGACAAGGACGCAGAAGCTTTCCTGCTCAGTTTGTCATCTGGATCGTCACAGACAGTTTTACTGTCCTGGTGCTGGGCAATTTTTTCATGATCCTCGTCGTCCTTGGTAACTTCAGAAGGCTTTTCACCGTCGTCATCTTCAACAATAGGCGTCGGACTCGGACACTGCAGGACAGTTTGAAAGCTGGCCGTTGAGCTTGAACCGTTGGAAGTACTGTTCGCGAGTCCTTCAACGGTGAGGCAATCACCCGTTTGTGGTGCATTTTCTTCAAGGGCAGGTTCGTTGCAGGAGTCACTCTCCTCGCTGTAGTCTTCCACAATGACATTAAACGGGAATGGTGCACAGTCGCTAGACTCGCTGTTTTGGTCCTGTTTTTCCGACGCCTCAGCATCATCTTCAGTTTCTTCAGCAGTACTTTCATTTTGACCTTCTCTGTCCTTGCTGATCTCTGACTCCTCGTCCAACACCTTTTTTTCTGCTGTCTCTGTCTGGGTCGCAGTCGGTGGGATATAACCATCGCTGGCTTTTTCCGTATCCTGTTCAGCTTGAGCTTCTTCTTCGCTACACTCTGCGATACTCTCGAGTGAATCATCCGGTGAACTGTCCTGAGCCGCCGTTTTGCTTTGCGCCACGGTGACATTGAGGCTGTCGTCTGAACTGACCTCCGAGGCTTCCGAACCTGGGCTGCCTTCGATTTCCATTGCAGTCGCCGACGCGGTTAGCTGCTCGGTGGCGTCGACGGAAAGCACTGCCGGTAGAAATCGCTCCCAGTATATCTCACCTGATGCGAGGTCTGTGTTTTGACTGCATAGCTTAGATAGACCTGAGTGCACAGGCAAAGACTTTTTTACGATGGTTAGTCTGATAGGTGTCATGCACAGTCCCGTACTGCAATCTTCCGACTCTACTTCGCTATCCCCTTTGTTTGCCATGCTTGATTTTTGGTTAGAAGTTTTGACTGTCACGTCTGTACGACACTCCGGTGTAAAATTGACGAGGGGCCAGGGATGCCCATCGCTGTCGTTCGGTTTCAGGCTCACCAGATTATCGGATTTGGCGCTGTCTGTAGGAATTTTACCTTCTTCACTCAGCGCGTCCAAAAATCCTAGGGCTGGATCGTTGTTCTTCGACCCAATGCTGTTGTACGACTGTGGAGTTAGCTCTTCAGGCGTATCGTCCGGAGACGCCACACTCAGAGCATCGAGTTCATTTTCCGAAGTGGCAGCATCCGTTTGGGGTTCTAGTGTGCTTCCAGAACTTGACTCAATACTTTCTGTGGCCTGGGGTGAACTGAGGCTTTCGGTACTAATGGATGTATTGTCCGTCTGGACTTGCAAAGTCTCACCACTGGACGTAGTACTCTCCTCATTTGGGGCCGACTCCGCCGCTGAGTAGTAAGGGTCGTCGAGTTCTCTAACGTCCAGTTCAATTTGCGGAATATCGTCTTCGCAGCAACTGGCATCAGCACCCGCTGCTGAGAGGTCAGGGTTGGACATGTACGATTGAGTATCTTCAGAGCCGCTATCGTTGTCCTCATCCCCTATCGTCTCCGTGGCCCCGAGACTTTCTGCGGCCTCGGTAGCTTCTTCTTGCTGAAGCGCGTCCTGAAGGTTGGCCCACTGAGGGACGTCCAGCGCATCGGTACAGTGAGCGAAGGACACAATAGCACCAATAATGTCGCGAAGAACTACTGCCTCACAGTCAGAAAACTTTTCCAGGTACTGTCGCGGGAATGCGCCTAAAAGAGGCGGCGAATTCTTGGGCGTCGTCCTGAGTGTCGGGGAGAACTCTGGAGACGAGGTCTCTTGAGCCCCCAGGCAGATGCTGAGCGGCGAAGCCCTCAGGCTGTTCGAGCACGCCCTGTGGAACTCTCGGCGCTGAAGAATCGCCTCGATCTCGCTGCTGCTCCGCTGAATCACGGACACTATGGATTCTTCGCTGTCCACACTCGTGTCACTCTGAAGGCTGCTACACTTCCGAGGTATCACAGAGACGATGGACTCTTCCGAGTCCTCGGAAACGTTTCGACTTCGTGGAGTCGTCGGGGATGCGCACATGGACGCCGAAGCCGAGGACGCCGAGAAGCGGCGCTGTTGGTAGATGGACTCCGACTTCCGGTTGTTGGTACCGACACTCATGCTTCGTTTGACGACTCTACGCCTGTGTTGGACGACGCAGTACACCTCTTCCTCCTCCACAAAAATGTCCGAGTCGAAAGAGTCCTTCTTGCGCTCCTGACTGCTACACTGAATTACCGGGGCAGGCTTGGGCTCTACTGTCTCGGCGTCAGGGACGCTGGCTTCCGGCGGTTGCGGAGGCTCCTCGCAAAGCGTGTGCAGTTCCGGCATCGAGTAATAGGTTGAGAGTGGTGGTTCCTGGCAAAGAGAAACCGAAGCCGCCGACTTCACTTCTGTCTCCGCGAATTCTCCGACGGAGCACTGGTTGTAGAAGTTTTTGAGGAGGGCTTTCTCTTGGAGCCGTTGGCCGTAAAAACGCATCCGCTTTTTGAGAACCTCGGACGCACCGGCCTTTGCCATCTTAGACGATAGATAGTTTCTGACAGTGGCACTAGTCGTCGTGCTTATTAAGCATTTCTGGAGATTCGCGTTGTTGTTGAACGTGTTGAACCACTCCTTTGTTCGGCAGCCGTTGAAGCCAGAGGGAGGGGCGTCTAGAGAACCCAGCCGGCCTTTGACGATGGACGAAATGTGTTCCTCGTTAAGAATACTGTTGCCGTTAGCGATATCCGAAGTGGTCAGTTGGCTCGTCGCGTTGGAGATGTCTCCAGCAAGCTTAGGATCGCCACCAGTCCCCTGTTCTTCCTCGGGAAACTCCATGCTCTCCACCATGGGCGGGAGCTGGTAGTCTTCGTGGAGGTGCTCGAACCTGGCGAAGCAGGAAGCCGTGGACTTGGAACGTACGATGCCGTTCTTGTCGCCGACGATCCTCCGTAGGTATTCTCTGGGATCGCTCGCCGTTGATATTCGCTTCTGGAACTCGTGGGAACCTTCTTTTTTCCGTCGAGATCTTAGGATGGACGGTATGATGCTGAGGACGTCGCCCAGTGACCGGGACTTGCCGTGCCCGCGGTTGTTCTTCTCGTCCTCGAGTATGGAGGGTGGTCGGCTGAGCACGGCCTCTTCTGTCACGGGCAGCTCGGCGTCGAGGTGACGGAGCTCGATGAGGCCGTCGTCCTCATCATCTTCCTCGAGTTCGCAGTCACCGCCTGTTGTATCTTGAGTCTGGGGCTCTTTTTCCGCGACCTGTAAAAAGGCACGGAGCGAAAGCTTTACTATCACAAAGTCGAATGATTGAAGTTTTAATTGACGGTGACCATGTTTTCAAACCATGTTTACTACAAAACAAAACATAACTGTAGTTTAAAGGAGCTGTGCAACGATATTCAGTTGGAATGTTTTTCTCTCTACACGAGCTTACTGGCACACCTGGGACTCAAGGATGCTCACACGCAACGCCACGGGCCAAGAAACTCCTTTGTTGCGGTGCCATTTCAAGGACAAAAACGATCATTTTCATTCAATCTCTCCTTTGCAAAATTTGATGACGTAACTCGGGGATCGCAGTACACCCAAGTGACGATATTTGAATGCGGTTCATAGATTGGACCCGAGCATTGCGTGGGCACTCGACTTGGGCTCGTGACAATTGCTAGCTCGAGAAGCATTCGGGTTGTGACCCGTGTCCAATCGCTGCAACGACGACAACAGCCGAGCCATAACAATGTCTGGAACTCAGCGCGTGTCCTCCGCTTTGCCAACCCCAGCGCGTGGCTATGATCAACACTGGCGGCATATAATCGGCTCCGGATCACATGGCCGCTTGTTCTGGCTGCGAGTTGAGGGGGTAAACGCTGCTCGTCTTTCTTTAATTTTTTTCTGGGACTTCTATTGCGTGGGGTGAAAAACGAACGCGTGTTTCATAGGTCATTAACATTAGGGATCCGTTTTAAGCGGTATTTGCGCAAAGTACAAAAATTGTTGCATTGCTCCTTTAAGCTGCCGAGAACTTGGGAAAAAAACTTTTTGTTTGTAGGGGCCCTAACTTAAAAGGCGGGACCAAGCGGGACCAAGGGACAGGGATTGGTCAGTTGCCTATTGCTATTGGTCAGCGGCGCAGCACTGACGCAGGATGTGGCCTATTATGTTTACGCTTCTCGCTTCGTAATTATTATATTTTTTGGCCGCCTAATTATGCGAATTTATTGGTCGCGAAAAGAAAATAGAAAGTTTTAGGGAACCGTGAGTGGAGAGGAGGAAACCGCCAATCACGACGAGCAGATAGCTTTGTGGGCGGGGCTTGTCCTGCTCTTGAAACAGACCGGCTCAACGCTCTGCCGTCACGTCGCTGCGGCGGCACTGCTTTTCAGTACGGCGCATGCGCGTCACCTCACTCGAATCTGGTTTTTGCACACTCGGTGTGCCCACACCCGATGGTGTGGGCAAACGAGGGAATGTATTTAGACAGCGGTGTATAATTTCGCCTATCTGCCAAAGGCATCCAAAGGCTTCGAGCCGGTACACTCTAAAAAAAGCCCGTGCGTCCACTTTCCCGCACAACACTCGGAGAGCCAATCAGCGCAACTTACGGAGGCAGCTCAGCGAATGACGATGTCGAAACATATGTTTAGACCAAAAAACGCAGTCTGAGTTGTGACATTAAAGGAGCTGTGCAACGATATTCAGTTCGAATGTTTTTGACTTTATACGAGCTTACTGACACTAGTAAGACTCAAGGATACTCGCACGCAGCGCCACTGGCCAAAAAACTCCTTTGTTGCGGTGTAATTTCAAGGAAAAAAGATATAATTTTCATTCAATCTCCTCTTTGCAAAATTTGATGACGTGACGTGGGGATCGCAGTACACCCATATGACGATATTTGAATGCTGTTCATTGATTGGACCCGAGCATTGCGTGGGCACTGAATTTTGGGCTCGTGATAATTACTAGCTCGAGAAGCATTCGGGTAGTGGCCCGTGTCCAATCGCTGCAACGACGACAATAGCCGAGCCATAACAATATCTGGAACTCAGCGCGTGCCCTGTGCTTTGCCAACCCCAGCGCGTGGCTATGATCTACATTGGCGGCATATAATCGGCTCCAGATCACGTGGCCGCTTGTTCTGGCTGCGAGTTGAGGGGGTGAACGCTGCTCGTTTTTCTTTAATTTTTTTCTGGGACTTTTATTGCGTGGGGTGAAAAACAAACACGTGTTCCATAGGTCATTAATGTCAGGGATCCGTTCTAAACGGTATTTGCGCAAAGTACAAAAATTGTTGCATCGCCCCTTTAAGCAATGCAAGCGTGACGTTTTGCATTGCTTAATGTCATAACTCAGACTGCGTTTTTTCGTCTAAACATATGTTTCGGCATTGTCATTCGCTGAGCTGCCTCCGTAAGTTGCGCTGATTGGCTCTCCTAGTGTTGTGCGGGAAAGTGGACGCACGGGCTTTTTTTAGAGTGTAGTCGCAGTAGCCAGTGCGACTGACCTGGAGCTGCTGAGGCGACGTGACCCTACTCTGCGCGGCGCTCTCGGCGAACCAAGCACCCCTGCAGCTGCTGTAAAAGTACGGCCTGGACCGGTGGCTGGTGGACGAGAGCTTCTGCAGGGCCCGCCGCATGAAGCTGTAGCACGTCTCGCTGGGACTGGACAGGTCCGAGCTGGAGTCGTCCAGGCTGTGCCCGCGTTGGCCGCGTCCCTGCCGCTTCCGGCGGGAGCGCGCCGGCGCTGCCGTGTCGCTGTCCGACGCCGGCGGGTTGTACGACTGGTACATGAGCAGGTCGTCTTCGCTCGTCGTCGTGCTCGTCATCTCGCGTTCCACCGACGAGCCACGGTCTGGGCGATCGAGACGGCAGGTATAAGAATTTACGCTCCGATTCACACTAAAGGCCTCTTCACACTGCGTCGTTTTCTTACGGTTCATTGCGTTACGTTGTGATACGGCTGCGATTCACCGGCATATCCGTGCTTCGTATTCCAGGTGCCAAGCTACTCGTTTAACTGGTTGCAACACTGCATACGAAGCACGGACGTCTCCGTTTTACACTAAAGGCCTGTTCACACTGCATCGTTTTCTTACGGTTCATTGCGTTATGCTGTGATACGACTGCGATTCAGCGGCATATCCATGCTTCGTATTCCAGGTGCCAAGCTACTCGTTTAACTGGTTGCAACACTGCATACGAAGCACGGACCTCCCATATACTCGCGATCGTACGTCGACGTAAGCGTACACGTAAACACCGTAACGTAAGAAGACGGTGCTGCGTGAACCAAAGTCCGGCCGCTTTGTCAAGCTACGATTCGACGAAGCCAATCAACCAGCGTCGAAAGTGTATCCTCATGGTGCCCGTCGTCTTTCTGCGCTTGCTACTAGCGGCTAAGCCAGTCACCCGCACTGAATGCGCCATGATTCTGGGCATCCTAGGCTTTCTCTCTGTGCGTGATTCGTGTGGAGTCTACAGACCTTTGCAAAAATCGCCTTCTGCACGCTGCCATCTCTGTCTGCTGGGCTGTGGAAGGCCTTCTGAGCATGCGCTGTTGGTCTGCACGCTGTGCGGTTTATCAGACGCTGCGCATGCGTCCATAGCTCGTGACTCAGCATTTTTTGCCGTGACGGTGCGCTTTTACCGTTGCTTAATTGGCTCGATCGGATGCTAGCGTCAGCCGCGCTCGGTGGCGAAATCGACGGCACCTAGCGGCTAAAACAAAAAGCTGTGGCGGCAGGTTCGCTGCAGCGCTGCAGCCTTCTCAAGCGATATTCCCAGCACCTGGCGGTATAAAGACGAGCCGTGAAAGTAGGTTCGAAAACAGGCGGCGAAAATGGCCAATAGTCACACAAAGAGTTCCTTTAATCGCCGAAGTACGGGACCGTTTTGACTCCGCTCAACGCTTTCAGCTCACCTTCGCTGCTGCTCTTGGTCGGCTGCCTGTAGGGCACCAGGACGTCTTGGGACTCGAACTGCACGCGCAAAAAGTGAGAGCGAAAGAGCCGTCAATCAATTAAGTGTTCACTTGCGTGCGCCACGCGCGTTACACTGCATTGGGTCACACTAACGGCTCTATGGTTTCTACAGAAGGGGCTCTGGAATAAAATGGACACTGTGCAACACTGGTTTGCGCGAACACAAGATCGACACTTTTCTCCATTTTACTCATAGACAGTATGGACAATGTACAAAGCCGAGGCGCCCGTATCGGTTCAAGCCACTGATCTCTAGTGGAGATCAGTGGCTCAGGCGCATTCTCGGAAACGTCTGTTAACGAAGATTTTACTTTCGGTTTCCTCCATCGGATCGCGATCAGCTGCAAGCGGACACCGCTGACCTGAACCATGCACTGAACGCTGCGTACCTTGCCGAGCTTTCTTAAGTTGACCTACGTGTGCATGTCATGTAGTGAGTATATTTCTCTTCTCGTGACTTACTAGACGCTAACTGTTTCAAGGCGACGGTGAGCCACGCAAAGTTCGGGAATGAGCAAGACGAGGTGGCAGCTAGTGGTCAAATGCATCGGGGCAATGAAAGTGGAAGAAGAAGATGGTTTAGAAACGATGGATAAAACACGGCATAAAAACATTGTGAAAGCTCGATGCTAACCTTGGTTCTGGCCCTTTTCGAAGTCTGTCGAAATCGAAAGCAAACACTTGCAAGGAGTACGTGCGTAGGGCAGCGTATACGCCGCTCGAGATTGTGTGTAGTTTCGCTCAAGCGACGTGACTTGCCTTCGCCTTTAATCAGTTACCGTCTGGTAAAGTCACGAGAAAAGACGTATACTTACTGCTTCACCTGCACACGTAAGTCAACCTACAAAGACTCGGTGAGGTACGCTACGTTCAGGGGCGTGGTGGAGGTCCGTGGTGTCCGCTTGCAGCTGGCCGCGGCCCGATGGAGGAAACCGACACTAAAATCTTCGTTGACAAATGTTTCCCAAAAGGCACCTGAACCGCAAGGGGCACCTCGGTTTTGCACATTGTCCATTGACGGGTACTACATGCTGTCTAAATATCCACACAACCCCAATTATTGGTACTAAACTTTAACTCTTCAGTCAATGCAAGGAGGGAAGGCACGCAGTCGAGCTGGTCAGGAAACATCATTGAAAGAAAACCTGAGACTGGGACAAATTATGTGTCGTGCTGTCCGTTTTTTTTTTATTTGTCCCAGTCTCAGCTTTTCTTTCAATGATGTCAGTCAGTGACTTAAATGACGTCTTTTTGCCAAACTGTTAGTTTTAATGGCAGCTCTAAAATCTTGTGAGAAAGACAAGGAAGACTGTCGATTGCGTGTTCGCGCTAACAGTGTCGTGCTGTATGCTTGGTCTATTTGGTAGTTAAGCGCTAAATATAACGGACAGGTAGACTATCGACGAACACCACAGAACGCCAATCTTAACTGAAGGTTATTTATGAAATGGGATAAAATAAAATTCAAAACTGTTTCATGTGAATTAAAGAAAACAACATAAGTAAATATATAAGCGTGGATTGTTGGGGCGGCGTTGCTGAAATCTTTGTGATATCAAGGTGCACACGTTTACCTTGTTTCTCAAAACAAAACGATCGAAATATAAAAGTGAATTAACCTTACTGAGCAAAAGGGGATAGATGGATGAAGTCCTGCGGCGCCAAATACCTCTTGTCCTTCGGCGGTTCCGTAACAGTTATCTCGTTCGATCAGTTCGGTTCCCCTCATTCATCCACATTCTAATATTTCTTGAATTATAAATTGTTGAAGGTTGGGCTCTACGATGTTCGTTATTCTTCTACTTGCCCGTCATTCCAAGGATGTTCGTACACCTTTTCAACGAGTTTTCGAGTTCTTGTTTTGAATACGAAGTCCGTTTCAATTTCGTGAACATGCGGTGAAGGTATCGTAGTTGCGGCATGGCGTCAAGCAAGACAAACTCTAACATGCACGCACAAAAAAGGAAGCGCGTATTAACGTGGCACTCGAACGGAATCTGAAAGTTAAAAGTGTCCTACTTCAATGTACTCTTAGCTACAAGGTTCTTTATGAAAATGAACACCGGAGCGCGTAGCTTTGCTAGACAGTGAACGGAACGTTCAAACGAGCGTTCCGTACTTGCTAGTCGCTCACTTATAGCTAGATTATAATTAAAGCCGATCAAGTATATCGTTCATTACATCACTTTAAAAAAAAAAAAAGTGCCGCGTTCTTGCATTTGTCTCGGGAAAAAATAACAACTAAAATGGCAGCGCGCAGAAGAGGATTTTTACAAAAGTCTATAGACCTTCGCAAAAGTCGCCTCCTGCGCGCTGCCATCGTTTGCCTGCTGGGCTGTGGAACGCCTTCTGAGCATGCGCCGTTGCTGTGCTGCGCGGTGTATGACACCCTGCGCTGGCGTCCCTGCAGCTCGGTGACTCAGCATTTTTTGGCCCGGGTGATAAGCGCTGGAAAGGTCTATAATCGGCGTCGACTATTTGGTGCTACACTGTCAAGGCTAGCGTAGCCTTCATAGTGCTGCAGCCCCGCACTGCTGAGCACGTGGCTTCGTGTTGCGTCTCGTTCGGACGCGCTCGCACACTTTGACAGAGTTGGAGCACTGCGGAAGCTACGCTAGCCTTGCCAGTGTAGCACATAAACTTGCTAAGGCACGTCAGAAAAACGTAGTCCTCAAGTTCCAGTCAACGGGTCGTTCCATTTTGAAGAAATATAAATGGTGAAATGATAAAATGAGACACGTTATGAATTTGAGCACTGGCATGACTCGGCATAAAAAAAAGGTGCCCTCGACGCCCTAATCTCCGTGGTCAGAAAAATGTTGATAAGTGGACACAGCTCTCAGTATCGGCCGCTAGGAGGTCAGTTCTAAACTTGATGCGAAGGGGTTACTCCAAAAGCGCCGCGTCATTCATAGCCCCCACCGTGCAAAGAGGACTCCAAGAGTGCTGAGTCATTCCTAGCGAAATTGCAGTCAGTGCAATTACAGTCCCATAGCCTTGCCTTCTAGGTGATATCATTCTAGCTCGATACGAAGGAATTTCTCCAAAAGTGCCGAGTCATTTCTAGCTCCCACCGCGCAAAAGGGAACACTCTGGCCACGAATCGTCGCAGAAGCGCTCGAGCCGTGTGAGCGGCTCACATGCCACGGGAAGGGTCCCCCGGGAGCGCACCTTTCTGTGCGTCTGCTCGAGCGCCCAGACGGTGATGAGGACGCGTCCTCCGACTCGAAGCACGCGCGAGAGCTCCCTGAGCGCGTGCACGCGCCTCTCGGTCGACGCCAGGTGGTGGATGACTGCGACGGACAGCGCGGCGTCCAGGGACTCGTCGCGGTACGGCAAGGCCAGGGCGTCGCACAGCACCACTTCGTGGCCCCGAGACGACGCCGCGGCGGCCAGGCTCGGTGACCGTTCGCAGCCGACGGCGCCCGCACCGCCGGCTTCCAGGTACTGTCCGCTGCCGCAACCTGCGACGGGGAATTGCAGAAGCCATCTCGTAAACGCTCGGCGTCTCCTGTGACATAGCTACGGCTGGCGGTTCCGGGGCCGCTCTAGTCAGTCTTGTAGATATGGCTTTTCCTCTCGGCCATGAACTCTACTCAAATTACTCTGTAGTTCAACTACTTTTTAAATAGTTTAGTAACTTTCAATTACATTTTCATTTCGGAAGTTGGTAGTTTAACTACATTTTCCGGATAATTTCTACTCAAATTACAGATTACTCTCGAAATTTAGTGATTTGTATAAATGATAAACACACATTTGCACATATGCAAAAAAAAAAAAAAATGGATATCGAAGTGTCAGCTAATATTCACGAAACGACGGTTTGGAAACCGAGGGTGACGGGCCTTTTTTTTGTGTTCCTAAGCTTTCGGAGAAAAGCGTGCACGACTGGGGCCCCCTTCTAGAGAAGCAGTGTGCCAGAAAGATCTGGGTGGTGGAGGGAACTGGAGAAAACCGGGGGAATCAAGCTGGTATCCGCACGGGGGAACCCAAGCCGGCTTGCTGGAACAACGTTTCAACCAAGTCCGGGTGAAAGAAAGCACTGCAAAAGCTGGGGTGCGCGAGCGTCTTGGGACGCGGTTTGAGTCCCGCTCAGCTCGTGAGCTTTCTTTGGGTGTGCTTTTTTTTTCCTAGTCTCAGCTGAGTCTCTGTTTCCAGCAAGCTGGCCCTTGCCTCGCAGAACTCAGGATGTGCAAGCCTTCCCGGCTTCGAATTTTACAAAAATAAAACAGTAAACAATCAAGCACACTGCCTGCAAAACTAATTTTGTGCAATGCATCGAAGTAGAAACGGTGTACATCCTGCTGTGTCGGCTTAAAAATTAAGAAATACATTGTACGTCATATAAAAAAAAAAAAAAAGACGTAGGCACGCAGAGACAGAACTTCCGACGAATTGCCTGCCTATTAGGTTAACGAAACTTTGTTTATGTATAACTTGTCTGGCCTTTATTGCTATGATAAAAATATATATATAAAAAGAATAGAAAGTAATGCATTACAAGGTGTCCCCTCAAAAATCCATAGGGTTTCTTTCCCCCGCAAAAATAAACTGCGCATCGCAGAATGCTCGTTCTCTACTAAAATGTAGTGCTAGCGGTCCGAACCAGGTGCTAACGTTTCAGAACTAGCCGTTATGTTACTCTAAAGTTATAAATGGTGTAATGAAATTTTCATCTTAAAAATGGTGGCCGACGGAGCTCTGGAATAAATGGAGCTCCATGGCGCCAGAAACCGAAAACGGGCCCCATTTTCCCATTGGACCCATTTCAGAAAATACCTTATAACTTTCGAATAACATTACGGCTGGTTCTGAAAATTTGGCATATTGTTCCGACCTCTAGCGCTACATATGGACGGAGAATGAACACTTGACGGTGCGTAGTTTATTTTAGCAACACTAATTTTTTGGGGGGGCAGGCTATACTTCCTTACCGTAGTTAATACTTTACTCAATTACTTTGGAATTTAGTAATTTGTATTCTGCTCAAATTGCTTTTGTCGCCAATACTCCGTACCTACTTTTCTTGAGTAATTCGTACCTAAGACATGACCATGTAACGCTTGCACCGATCGTGCAGGAGGTACACTCTTTTACAGGCGTCTGACAGCGTGTTTCTACGCTCACAATAAAGCTTCTAAAAAGAAATGTTAAAGGAAAGAAAAATACAGCTCGCACTTTCGGTGTTTTGTCAAAACGATAAGAATGCTTCCCTTGTGTCTGTCTTGCTCTTGTTGTTTTCCTCCACAGATGCATATCCACCGATGTAATTCTGCCAGCTCAGCGTCCGCGAGCTACCCGAGCAACCGTAATACGCGCGACCACAAAATATCCGTTTTTGCTCGCCAGGGGCGTTGCCCAAACTATAGAGTTACACGCCTATAGTGTTTTGTGCGTGTGTTTAGACAGCGGGGCGACAGTCATTCTTAAAGGGGGGGTCTGGTCTCTTCACTCTATATGTGAAATGTAGCCAGTGCAGTTCCCCACCACACTAGCCTGGGGTCTTTTAACGTGTAGCGTGCAGCAGTGATGCAAAGCCACGCGCCGGTACGGTGTACATCCAGGTCAAAACGGGCAGAGGTGGAGACCGAGCACAGTATTCCTTCGTTTTGCCTCGCGAGCTTTTTACACCACCTTCTCCGAGCTGCGAAGTGCGTTACACTCGGCCACTCATCCCCATAGCGGTCTTGCACACCTTACAGAAAACAAGTTATCGATTGCAGATGGTACAAGTACTCCGGGTCAGAAAGGAATATAAGATAGCTTAATTTCTCAACTCCAAAGGTCATTTTGCATTTCCTTAAAATGTAAGCGTCACTTTTTCGCCTTCGTTTCAAAGTCACGAGGGTGTTTCGCCTTTGTTAGCTGTATTTGCGTCCGACAAAAGTGACTACAAAACTTTCAAATCGCTTTAGTTGACAAGAGTCAACCACGCTCCTCTAAATCCTTGCAGCTTCAGTGCGGTTTTCCCGCTTTTCAGACGATCGTGGAACAGAGCAAATAGCGACAACATCGAGAAGGCTTCTTCCTTTCTTTTATCACAGTCTTTTTGTGAAAACTCAAATGTCACCAATATAACATTAAAAAAAAAATTTAACGAAAAAAAAAAACAAAAAAAACACGCTTCCAACTGGTTTGATGAGGCTAGAAATCACCGTAAGCACAAATTATGCGATCGGTTTCCAAAATAAAATGTTGGTAAAAAAATAACCTCACCGAGTTGGGCCTTGTTAATCCTCGTTTTCTTTGACACACAAAATTTCGAGTCCCCATCCTAACGTCTTCCCTTATTTATTTCTTTTTTTCAATCCGAGTGATATTTTTGGCAGCAGTCGACACATACTTTGTTTTCAGTCATACACTTGGTGATGCCAGAACCTGAAGCTCGTGATGGTAAAAAAAAAAAGGAACGGGGCACAAATGCTAACGATTACTAGTAATTAAAACTGCTCGCGTGATTACTGCACGAGAAAAGTAAACGCGCTATTATAAAATTACTCCAAAAGTAATGGATCACAAGTAATTTTATTACCGCTTACAAATTACGTACAGGCCTGTTACCTGATAAACATGCTAGATTTGTCTTAGAGTATATTTCTTTATATTGAAAACATCCGATAAACCCTTTTAGAAGACTTGCGAGAATAAAACAACTTGGCTTTGAACGTTCAAAGAAGCACGAGGACGCGTTTGTTAAACATGAAACAAACTAACGCATTCAAGCATTACACAAACGCGAGTACACACAGCATATTTAACATGAGTCTTTCAAGAATTCATTTGATTGTCTTGGTGCGCTAAAATTGCCCTCTTTGACGAACACCCATGTGCGTTGTCGATTGATGAGGCTGGATAAAGCGCAAGGAAGGTTGTTCGTCACTAGGTCTTATTTCATATCGGGCAAGCAACTTTAATTTAATGTTCCTTTAGAACAATTCCAGGGTCCTCGGCAGGGTAACTCGATGAAAGGTAAACAATTGACGATTTAGAAAGGTATACAGTAGTCGATGTTATAAAAACAAGTCAATCAAAAAATAAAATAAAACTCAGCTATTACCGAGGTTTAGAATAACGTCGAGGATGACTCAGCTTACTTCCTTTAGATAGCACTGGATGTCTTCGAAGCCACGCGTTTGCATGAGCTTTCTCACATGTCGCCCACGACTGTACACACTGCGCGACACTGTCAGGGCGAATGCGAGTTCGGCGATTTTTGTCATTTTACGTCCAGAGTCTACCTGCGCGAATAAAAAAAATTTCAGGTTAGTACCCTAACTGAGAACTTTGCTCCAGTATAGTAACTTTAATTACGGTCCTTCAGTACTGCTAGAAAAACAGAAAGATGACTTGTTCGCGCTAACATTGTCCCGGAGTGTCCACTAGACCAGTCTTGCTTTTATAATCAAACTAAAACTCGGTTCGGATAATTATGAGCGTGTGATGAGTACGTTTCTTGAATTTTCCAAGAAAATATGCGAGTAAGGAAAATAAAATTACCTAAAGGGCATTTGTAGCCATTCTTTTAAACTTTAAGCCGGGGTCACGTTGTTCATACATAAAGACAGTCTGCCAGATATCACTCACGGCAATATCCGTGCTTCGAATGCGGCGTGCCAAGTTTCTCCTCGAACTCATCGCCGTGCGGCATTCGAAGCACGGATGTCGCGGTGACTCGCGTTCGAACCTGTATGCAGACTGTCTTCTGTATGATGTATAAGCACAGTGTGACCCCGGCGAGCTTCGCTCTTGAGAGTTTAGACGCCATATTGTTTTATTCTACACTATGACACTGGCCGTGGAGCATTGATATTACATTAGAAGATTTACGAAGCCCGCTGAGTAGTTTCTTTTTACGTTCCTCTCCCAATGAGTACATACTTCGCGAAAAGCCAGAATGGAGCCTCTAAAAGTGTCCAAACGTTTATTGGCACATGCGTGGTGGCAACGCACGCTGATGTCCACTCGAAGAAACGAGGTTCTTACCCCCTGTTTTTTTCTGTACTCAATCTTTGACCTTCTGGGAAGTTCCATCCTAATCTCGGTTGTACTTGTATGTTCTGGCTCGGAACATTCCTCAACGTACCATATGTATATAAAGAAAGCAGAGGCAACGCGCTGCTGCGGGACAGTCATCCTTCTGTCGCCGTCACAGGATGTACGGTTCCTTCATTATGGTTAGATTGATGGCACGAGCTCGCCTTATTCAACTTTATTTTTCTGCTCTAAATTAATATTTTTTTATTCGTGACATTTTCAAGATCTTTGACGACTCTCCGGGCATGCAAGCTGCTGTTTTATGTTCATCCGGGGAACTAATACGCGTCTATTTGTTTCCTCACGAACTCCACTCTCAAGTGAACTCTCTCGTGCAGGTAATCGATGGGGACTGTTTTAATTCGTAACAACATTAAAAAAAGAACTGTAGAATTTATTATTTGACGCTTTTTACGACGTGCTCGTA